AAACGAGCAAAATAAATCTAGTTGCTCTTTCACACAAAAGTCCATGAAAATATTATCATGTTCCTCCAAAGTCTTCCCTTCTCTAATGCTAAACAACTCAAGTTCCTTCAACTCATCCTCAAGTTAATACTTTAAAGTGATGGACATTCTTCTCTAAGTACACTTCAAGTTGAAAAAATACCAAGAATGTGGCATCCAGAACTAAATATGTTACTCCAGAGATGCAGAGGCAGAGAATATTCAAGTAAAAATTATTAACTCTTCACGCCAGTAACAAATTCTTAGCACAACCAATAAAGGATTCAAGAGTCTTTTAATCCAAAGGCCAGAATAGGAAGCTATTACTGCCAGTTGTGACAACTGCAAACTACGCAATCTTGGGCAAATCACTCAGTCTCTCTAAGCTTCAGTTTCCTTATTTGTAAAATGAAAATACCACACAGGGTAGCATTACAATCACCAATATGTCCCTACCCTCACCTCCCAATTCGACAAACCAGACTTCTACTAAAGCAGCTGAAAATCCCCCCCCCCTTTTTTTAACTATCATCATCACAATGTTGACACAAACAGTTTACAATTCATGTTAAAAACACCCAGGTCCTTTTCATACCAATTGCTGTTTACTGACTTATCTTACTACAAGACTTTTACTTCAAGCAGTACCAGATAGTCTGCACCTAGCAGAGATACATAAAAAGGCCTTTTGGAAATATTGTTTGTAATATTTCCTTATCAACTGTTGCGAATACCAGAAGACAGAATAATGTGGCAAATTTTGTCTCCAAGATCCCTGGACTTGGATGAACTGCCATCCAACCCTGGGATGGATTCATACTCAAAGTATAAACCTGTCAGGTATCAATTCAAGTCAGATTCACTCAGTCAACTTCTCCATAAACCTTTGGTAGTCTACACTATCCAACAATGGATAAACTCTATTCTAACCCAAACCACAGCTATTACCCTAGCTTCTTTGAATGTCTGGCTTATAACTGTACCATAATTTGAAGGGGGTCAATAAATCATTATCTATGATTTTAGCTTAATACTCTTGCACTTTATTTTTGCAATGACTTCAAGCCTCAGCTAACAATTCATCTATAAAACTCCTTCTAATGCCCTACCTTATACTGATCTCTCCTTTGCCTGATTCTACATTCTAGCAGTGCTTATTTATGTCCGTGTTATTATATCCCACCTACCCCCCAGCACAAGAGATTAAGTTCCATTTTCAGAAAACTCAATCAATAAAGAAATATACTTCACTCTACTAAGCCAAAATCTACCTCTTTGTATATTCTCACCATTCAACCTCATTCTTCTCTTGGGAGCTTATTATATGACTACAACATCACCATTCTCAGCATTCTCAACAAGTGACCATCTAATCAACACTCAAAATATTTTCAGTGCAAGTAGTCCATCTCACTCTTGAACAGCTCTACTTGTTGGGAAGTCTTTCCTTATATTAAGCCAAAATATGTGCTAGTATAAAAACTAGCAAAATTTTACTAATCTCTGTTCACTGTTTCCCTGGATGCAGACTTCATTCAAGTCTGTGATAAGAGGCAGACGGAGAGAAATCAAGCTAATGGGAAACCAATTTATGAGAAAGTCACGAACAGGAAAAAAAACTTAGGAAATGACCTATGGAGTCATGGAACACTCTAGTCTTGAGAAGGAAAGAAGAGGTTTCATGTCCTTTTATTAGTAATAGGTGGAAGAAATTATGCCAAGGATGAGACAAGGGATTCCTGAATAGAAGATAGAAAAACTGAAGATAAACTCCTGGGTCTTCCTCCTAACAACTCCCCAACTCCACCACCCTAAATCCTTCAAGTTGGTTTGGAGTTTTCAGTTTTTTTGTTTTTGTTTTGTTTTTTTTTTAAAGGCAATTGGGGTTAAGTGACTTGCCCAGGGTCACACAGCTAGTAAGAGTCAAGTGTTTGGTCTGAGGCCAGATTTGGACTCAGGTCCTCCTGACTTCAGGGCCGGTGCTCTATCTGCTGCGCCACCTAGCTGCCCCTGGAGCTTTCAAAAGAAGAGTCACCTCTGGAGAAATTCAGATTCCACAACAAGCAAATCACAAAGGACACAAAAAGCAACCAAAGAGAACTGGGGCACCTCATGGACAACTTTTATAAATGGCAAAGAAAGGATTCCTTTCATTTCCAAAGATTTTCAGGAGAACTGGTTCTAGACCAACAGATCCGACTAAGTTTTTTTTTTTTTTTAAATAGCCTGTGCCCTCACTAAAATGCTGTCCTAAACTCTCTCCATTTCAAAAAACTCTTTTATATAGATTGTTATAATGGAGAAAGAACACTAGTCTTCAAATCAGAAGACCGAAGAATGAGTTCCGGCTCCAATTAATTACTGCTGCACCTGACCCCCTCTGTTCCTCAATTTCCCCAGCCTCAAAATGGCTATAATATCAGTATTACCTACCTCAGAGTTGTTGAATATGTTTTATACACATTTAAGTGCCACAAAAATGTGAGTACAAAGGTGAAACCATCCTAAAAATAGGAATGTTCAATCTCTTTAGTAAACCAGTATCCCTGGAAGGAGTCTTTAAGCCTACAATTAAACAAAATTCTGTTCTACATCACATTTTTTTGGGGGGGGGGGGAAGCCACCCTACATCAAGTATAGTAAGGATAAGTTTTATAGAAACTTAAATATTAACTGTCTACAAAGGGACAGACTAGACAATGGAAGGGACCTAAGACAAACACCGTTATTTTGACAAATGAGAAAACCGAGGCCCGGAAAGGAGAGTGATTTGCCAAAGTACAAACAGTTTAAATTGCAGACCAGTTCAAACTCTAATCTCCTTACTCCCAATCCAGAGTTTTCTACCATTCATATTAAGACTTTTTAAAAAGGTCTTTGAAAGGCAAAGTAAAAGAACACAACTCCATGAAAATAAAGCATCACGGCCTGAACTTCAGAAAGCTCTATAGTCGATCATACTTGTAAGATTTTACAGAAAGCAATTAAACACAGCTCCGCTGTCATGCAATTTAATTAACACTGTACTGAGACAGAAATTACTAGCTTCAAGTAACATCAGATGGCATCTCATGTCTCTGAATTCAATGAATGGATCCCAAAATAAAAATACAAAGTCACTCCCTTGACTTAACAACGTTCAAGTTTTTTCTAGCGGTCAGGTCTCTCAAGTTTCCCAGAGCTAATAAAAATTGTGACATTGCAGACCCATTCTTACATGGTTAGTGTTCACGATGAACTGCAAAGCTATTAGAAAAAAAAAATCTAGTCATTTAACACAAGTTTTTAAAGTGATTCTAAAGACAATGATAGTAAGAAATGTACATATGCAACTGATTTATATCTATTGACTAGAATAAAGCTCATTTTAAGATTTCAAATTTCAAAGACTTTTACTTAACTCTACACATATGGCCCAATACTCACAACTAAAAAATATTAAATGCTTAATATAACTGGTGAAATAAGTCTCTGCTGCCCTCATCATCTACTTGAAACTGAATGAGAAACTGACCAATATTTCTTACTGAATTGGGATTTTGGGTGGAGAGGTATGCAAAAAGATATATGACACATCTACAGATGAGAAAGCAACAAGGAATTCCCCATGTTGGTCCAGATGAACCCAACTGCCTATGCTGTAATGACAGAAAATAGCCAGTTGGTCAAAGGTCTGACAAACAGTAATACTGCAAAACAAAACTGGGGACAGAAAGTGAAGTTAGAAGCAAAAATTGACAAGATAAAAAACCCTTGAAATCAAAAAGGATCTTTTCATCCTTGTGTGCATTCCTGTCACTAACCCGAATCAGAAGTTCTCCACAAATCAGAAGCAAGTCTTCATGAATTCTTGTGACAAAGTTTCAATACCTGGTGGTCAAATCTGTTAACATTTACACTCAGCTCACTCTATGCTGAGCTAGGATGATTCTTGAACAAGAGACACATTTCATTACTGAACCCCTATTCAAAGAAATTCCAGCTTGAACTCACTGGTATAATCTTTGAAATCCCAGGATCATCTCCATGGATAAGGATTTGAAAGGGTAGAGGTGAAGGGACTGGAGAGGGAAGGTAGTAAAGGGAACAGCCTATCACAGGTATGCACAACATTTGGCCTGCACACCGCTTATGGCCCATGAAAAGATTTCAGGTGGCCCACAGAAAATTTAGAGGATGTAAAACAGGCCTGCACAATATACCACAGACTATATGTGGTGCAGGCCTGGCCGATCACATAGCTTCAAGGTTAACGATGTCCATTCTCTCTTGTGCTGAGCCACTCTTGGATGTCCCCCAATATCCAACACATGGTAGGCATTCAAACACTAAGAAGGTATCAGGAAGACTAATCTCTGCAGATAAATTCAGAACACTACATGGAGTGTCAGAAATCTCCCAAGAGGAAATACGTATAAAAAATCTTAGAAATAAATTCCAACTCACCCCACAAGTGGGATCTTTAACATTAAAAAATAAACACACATGAGTAAAATTGTACATACATATGATTAAGGGATCTAAGCTACAGCTGAGAAGATAATATTTATAATTTTAAAAAGGTGATGTACAAACAGTCCTTATTGAAGAAATCATCAAAACATATATTAGGAATTTGTTAGACCATAAAATCCATCATACTAACCAAAGTCAGGATGTGTTTGTTTAAATGACTACCAAGTATGCATAGCAATTTTAAATGAAGCAAGACAGGATCCTCAAATGCTACTAAAGCTATAGTAGTCATGATAGAATTCTAAGAATAAGCACAGGATTTTTCATACATTAAACATTCTATACATTTCTACACTGAACCTTTTACCAAATATGCAAAAATACACATTTGGTTATTTTTAATGTCATAAACATAAGACAAAAGAGAACAGTTATATGCCCAAACCTATATGACATTGCCAACACAACATCTGAGACAGAAGTCTTATGTAAACAAAATTAGAAGGGAAAGAAAAAGCTTTATATACCTCCATCTTTCTTCTCCAATTCATCCCTAATTAGAGGGGAAGTAAGTATCACCTTCAGCGTTAACGTGGGCTCTTTTGTATTTCGGATAATAATAGATGCCTCTTTTATACACTGCTCCACTTCATATCTCTCTTCTGTAAGTTTCTGAAAGTCACCAAATAAGATCTTTAAAATGTCCAATTAATTAGAATTATAAATCACATAAAAAAGGAATGTTTGTACTATATATAAAAGGATCTCAACCTGCAACAATCAGTTAATGACATTATTGTGCTTAAGTGAGGAAGCCCTCCAAATGTTTGATCAATAATGAACACCTAGCTTCTCTGTTTTCTTCTAAATTACTTGGTACAAAATAAAAAATAAATATTCTTTTTTGTGGTTAGAAGCAGCTTGTGATGCAATGGATAGACTGCTGGGCCTGTAGTAGGGAAAATTTGAGTTCAAATCCACTCTCAGACACACACGAACTGTGTGGCCCTGATCAAGTCATTTAATCTGCTTGTCTCAGTTTCCTCAACTGTAAAAGGGAGATAATTTTAGCACCCATTTTGTCAGGATGTCATGAGGATCAAATGAAATAGTATTTGTAAAAGTGATTAGGACAGTAACATGGTATGTGGTAGGCTCTATATAAATGCTTATTTCTTTCTTCCTTCCTTTCCCTCCCTTTCTTTCTCCCCACTTTGGTTGTCAAAATTCCTAATTAAAGTACCCAAGAATTACTGAACAGAAAATGTCAGTACTGTAACAAACATCAGAACACAGCTTGATAGAGATGGCAGTAATCTTGGAGATCTAGACCAACTCTCCATTTTATGGGTGTGTAAACTGATATCCAAAAGGGTTAAATGACTTAGACATGGTGCTACAATGCGTCACTGGCAGAAGTAGGCCTAGAACCCAGGATTTTTGACTCCCAATCCTTTCCACTGTGCCACTTATAGCCAAATTCCACAAAACCTTGCTATCATGTGGGTCCTGACTGCCAGAGATACAAATTGAATGGCTGGCAAAGATGCTGTCTGAAGGAAACAATTATCAACATTAAAAGCAGAGTATTAATATTTTTTACTAAATAGGAATGTCCAACCTACTATTTAATAAACAGTACACAATATTATAACTGGCATTTATAAAGGAGTTTGCAAAGTGTTTCATATATATTGTCTCATCTGCTCCTTTCATCAATGCTGTGAGAAAGGTATTGAAAATCTATTTCCAGTTTAAATTAAAGATGATAAAACAAGCCAAAAGAGGCAAAGTGACTTATTCAAAGTTAACATCATCAAAACTAGAACCCTAAGGATTCTGACTCAAGTCTAGTGTTCTTTTCTCTGCACCAAGGCTCTACTCCACTTCAAACTACTGGGGATATATTACTGAAAAATAAATTACATTGAAAGATCCTAAACCAGCAGTTTACCTGGATGGATCCTCTCAAACATTTTAACTACTAATTTTCAAGTCCTCATAAAAATAATTAAGCAGGGTTTGTTTGTTTTTTAAAGAAAAGCATATGAACATGAATAAGAACAGGAAGCCATAGTGATCTATTTTCAGTGGATGAATACAAGCCAGCAACTGTGCCCTATTTGAAGCTGAGAGACTAGTGAGACTCAAGATTACAGGACAGGGCATTTGACATTCACAGGGAAACATGATTATGTTGTATATTAAAAGAAAAATCACATTATAATTTAACGGCCTGGCACAGTATAGCAATCACCTTCTAATTATGACAATGTATTACAACTATAAAGGCATGCTTGTGACATTCAGTACTTCTTGCACACCTACACAAAAAAGTACTGAACTAAAGTCAGGATGCAAGTCCTGGCTGTCATTTAACTAGCTATCTGGAACCAGAAAGGTCACTTTACTTTCCCGGATGTCAGTTTCCTAATTTCCAAATGAGAGGAGGGAACTCGATCTCCAAGGTCCCTCCAGGCCCAATATCTATAGTAATATTTATATCTATGGGCTATCTTTGCTCTAGTAAAGAAACACTGAAAGCATTTGACAAAAAGGCCAAAGAATATGACCTAAAAATCTCTTATGAGACAGCCCCACAAAGTAAAGACATCCCCTATGCATGAGGCAGAAAAACCAAGTTATGTAAACTTAGAGTCACACGATAATTAGAGGGACCAGAGCTAGAATAAAACAATTTCAAAGATCATCTAACCGTCATTTGACAGAAGAATAAACTAAGACTCAGATACACAAAATGAGTGATCATACAGGGAGTTAGCATTAGGACCAGGACTCAAATGCAGACGTCCCTGTTCAAAGTCTAATACTATTTCCATTACACTACACTAACACACTGAACCTAGAGTCAGGCAGCCAGTCAAAATCCAATTATAAAAACTACTGAGCTATGCAAACTGGGACAATTTCACCTGACAAAACCATAGCATCATTGATAAAATAATGATAATATTTATATAATCCATTTTAAAGAATTGGTGAGAATGAAAAAACTTGGCAAGTTCTTAGAAATGTGAGTTGTAACAATTATTACTAACGTTCCATATCTCTTAATTCCTGACAGTGTTTAAAATTAAAAAAGCATTATCCTATACCATACTTCCAAATATTCAGAATGATAACTCTGAGAAACTGCAAAATTTTTGATCTTAGAAAAAATTTCATAATCATAAAAGGGAAGAAAATGGACTTAGTTTGGACATATGAAAGTAAGAATTGAAACAAAATAGGATTTTGAGTTTACCATCAGTTAATTAGAACCCATCATTTCCTCAATATTCTAGTGAATCAAAGTTTTATTATACTGCATCCATAGTTTCTACCAATCAATGGATTTTTTGACTCTGAACAAATGATCAAAAAATTTTAAATACATCCAGACTTGTATAATAAATCCAGGGGTAAAAAAATTTGTCCTTTTTATTAGGGATGAGTCTGGTAAAATTATTTTAGAGTACAAGAAGACACAAGAAGAATGAGGCAAAGCAATGAAGGATATCTAAATAAGGTCCTCAAAAAAGTTATAACCCCAATATGAATACAAGGGGATGAGTCAAAGGACAACATGAATATGAGTATTGAGAGCCAAATTAAATCAAGGATATCAAAGACAGGAATATCAAGTTATGCAGAGGATTGGGGAGGGAAAGAAAAGAGAAGATAGTACCTGGATCAAAGCAGACCAACAAGAAAGTAATTGTAATAGTTTAGGTCAGTGATAAGTATCTAAATTAGGGTGATGGCTAAGTAAGTGAGAAGAGGAGAGATATTCTGAAGGTAGAAGCAAGACACAGCAACTGGCTGGATATGGAAAATGAGGGAAAGGAACAAGCTGAAGATGACTCTCAAGCTTAAAAACTTAGATGACTCAAAGGCTGGTACCCCATCAGAAATAGCAAAGTTCTGAAGAAGTTTGGCTTAGGGAAAAGAATGAGCCCTATTTGGACATGTTGAGTTTTAGATGCCTATGGAACATCCAGCTGGATATGACCAGAAGAATATGTTCAAAAGAACTTTTAGTTGGAGAAGTAGAACTGGAGCTCAAAAGTTCCGTGAGAGTTGGATATGGAGATCGTGGAGTAATCTGCAGAGATGATAGGTGAAGCCATAAAACTAATAATCATCATCAAAAGGGGAGGGGGGCCCAGGACAGAGCCCAAGACACAGAAAAGGAACTGGCAGACAGGAGAAGCAGGAGAGAGCAGAATAGGGAAACGTACCAACAACAGAGCAGTCAGGAGGAATCAGTATCAACAGAGTCAAATGATGCGGCTGGGTCAAAAAAAGATGAGGAGTGAGAATTGGCTGTTGGATTTAATGAGAGAGAAATCGCTGATGACCTACGAGAGAGCAGTTTCATTCCAGTGGTGCACTGGAAGCAAGACTGCAAGGGATTAAGAAGTAGAAGATGACAAGTAGAGGTAACAAGGACAGAAAACTTTTTCTAGGATTTTGGAGGTAAAAGGGAGGTATACAATACAATAGCTTAATAGCTTGAGGGGACAGCCAGGTCAAATCAAGGTTCTGCAAAGACAGGAGAAATCTTTGACTATTTGAAGACAGCAGGGAAGAAGCCAAGAGATAAAGAGAGAAAATTATAGAGAGGAGAAACTCAAAGGAGGAAGCTCACAGGAAATGGCATAGGAGATCAAGAGTATAGTGGTTAACCTGGACAAGGAGGCCCCCTTTTCTTCCAAGACTGTAGAACAAAGAAGGAGAGAATGGTGGACGATGGTGAAATCAGGGAAGAGATTACAATGCATGACCTCAAAAATTTTCAATCAAGCATGAAGCAAGGTCCTCTGCTGAGAGGTAAGGGTTAAGTGAAATTAATATAGGGGGATGGAGGAAAGAAGAATAGGTCCAGAACAGAAACTGTGAAAAGTGTAAGTCAATCAGGAAACAGTATGGCTTGTAATGAGGGAGCAGCTAAGATTAGATCAATTTGTAGTTGGCCCAGTTACCAATGTTCTTTGACTTTTTCCAGCAGTGTTTAACAACCTAAGAGAGAAAGAAGATGGTACAAATAATAAAGGTTTTGCATTTCACAAAGTACTTTCCTCATAACAATGCTATGATGAGAGAACAGAAGACAAACTTAGACAAGTTAGAAGAGAAATACTCTCTTCATGTTACATAGCTAATAAATGCAAAGCTGGGTCTGAAACTTCTGTCTCCTAATGTCAAGTACAGTACTCTTCGAAATGCTGTCTGTTCCCTCCCGTAGACACATTAGAGAAAAGGAGGAGCAGTAAAAAGAATTTTTAATTTTGTTTTGTTCTGGTTTAGATCTGTGATTTCATCAATGTAAAGAACTCCTGCATTCCTTACGATGATGCAAGATTGGCAACATGCCTATAATTTAAAGAGTCTTAGAATGTCAGAGAAAATCATATTCAGATAAATTTTAGCTTTGTTCACTCTTATAAAAAAGATTCTAGAGAATAGAACAGGATTTGCAGGCAGAACGGACCTTTAAAGATTATCTGGTCCAACCTGATTTTACAGATTAAAAAATTGAGGCCCACAAAATTTAAGTCTTAGCTTGCCTAAGATCATGGTGATAGAAAGTGACAAAACCAGGATTCAAACGAAGGTCCTGAGAAACCAAACCTACAACTCTTTCCTCTGTACATTCTACCTCTTGAAAACAGAAAAAACAATTTTATGATTTATGCTTTCTGGAGTGTTATTTTCCATCTGCAATGGTAAAAGATAACTGAAGAGTTGACTACTATAACCAGTTTTGAAATCATGAGTATCTGATACATAAAAGAATAAGAGTAAAGGATGTCATGTTCATTAACTTAACTAGAATTGGAAGGAGCTTTAGTAAACACTTAACCTAACTCACCTGTTAACTTGATTGTTTAACAAGAACTATTATTACTCCAGAGTTTCCAAAACGGGAAATTCTTAAAATCTATAATTATCTTTACACTAAAAAAAACTGATGGAGCTGTCATTAAATTACTGCATTAATTCTTTAAAGGAAGCTCAAAGCATGCTTTTTATTAATCTTATAGTTTTACAAAACAAGAAAATAATCAGCAAAATATGGCTAACAGTCTGCTGACCTCAAAGAATGAGGAAAGGATTTGAGAGTACTTAAGCACTCTAGAAATGTGCATTATCACTTAGGAAAAGTAACAGAGTGTAATGTGAAAGAGTGTTGGAGTCAGTTCCTTGTAGCTCCAGAAGTATGATTTCATAAAACCTATATTCAAATCCCAGTACTAGTACTTACTAGCTGTGTGACCATGGACAAGTTACCTTCCCTCTCTGCACCTCCATTTCCTCATTAGTAAAATGGAGAGAATAAGTGCAATCTCTACCTCACAAGGCTATTGTGGGGAAAGTGCTCAGTGAACATTAAAGTGCTAATAAGTTATTATCCTGGAAAAGCTCCAGTCTTCTAGGCTTTCCAAAGGTTAAGTGACTATTTCAGGTAGACTCAAACAAATGTGTACTTAAATATTACACTAAGCTCCGGAGATAAAAGATAAAAAGCTATACAGTCCCTCAAGGAAATTAAAATGTATTTAAGTTAGCTTTAAATCATCTCACCAGTCCTTCTAGCTTTATAGAACCCACAGTTCCATGAAGTCCACTCCAAAAGAACTACTTTAAGGAAGTCTAGGTTTGTTGTTGTTGTTAATTTAGTATATACCTTAACTTCGCAAACATTTTCTCCACTTACATCACCACAAGTTTCCTTTATGTCACATGTCTTACTCACAGATCTATACCTAAAATATTTGTTTTCTCTGTAGTCTGGCTTGTGACCTCATCATCCAAATGAAACTGTTCTCTCCAAAGCTATCAATGACCTCTTAAATGCCAAATCTAATAACCTTTTCTCAATCCTCATCCTTCTTGACCCTTTCCACTAATACTGTCAATTATCTTCTTTTCCTTGATTTTCCCTTCTCCTTAGATTTTCACAACACTTATTTCCCAATTTTCCATTTATCTGACTGCTTCTTTCCAAGTCTCCTTTACTGTATCTTCATCTAGGTTATACCTGTAACCTTGGTAACCTTGGGTGTCCCCCAAGGGTGGGTCCTGGGCCCTTTTCTCTTCTCCTTCAATACTATTTCACTTGATTGTAGCTGTTTTTATGGTTTCAATCATCACCTCTATTCAGGTCATCCTCAGATCTGACTAGCCTACTAACCTCTCTCTTAACCTCCAGTCTTACATCTCCAACTACCCACGGGACATCTTGAATTGGATGTCTTACAGAAATATTACACTCAACATGTCCAAAACTGAACATAATTTCTTTCCCAAAAAGTCCTCCCCTCTTCCTAACTTCCTTATTGCTGCTGAGGCCACCACCATTCTCTAGTAACCCAGGCTCACCACCTAGGTGTTATCTTCAATTCTCTCAAAGCCCCCAGAGGCAATCTGCTGCCAAGTCCTGTCAATTCTACCTTCCAACTATCTCTCCAGTATACCCTCTTCTTTCCTCTAACACTGCCACTACTTTGGCGCAGGTCCTAATCATTTCACACATGGACTTACTGGCTAGTTGGTCTCCCTATCCTCCACTAAGCTATCAAAGTGATCTTCCTAAAGCACTGGCCTGATCATCTTATCTTCTATTCAATAAACTTCTGTGGCTCCCTATTACCACTAGGATCAAAGAAATCCTCTTGACTTTTCTTCATAACTTAGCCTCCTCCTATCTGCCCAGCTTCTTACACTTTATTCCCTTTCACATACTCAATAATCAAGACACAGCTCTCCTTACTATTCCTCCAACTAGAGAATGTATCTCCTGACTTGGCATTTTTACTGGTTGTTCCTCATACCTGGAATGTTTTCACTCCCCATCTACATCTCTTGCCTTTCATGGCTCCCTTCAGGTCTCAGCTAAAATCCCATCTCTAGCAAAAAGCCGTTCCTGGTCCTCCTTAATGCTACTGCCTTCCCTAAAAAATATCTTACATACAACATGTCCTAAAAATCTTAGTGTAGTTTTAAGCTATTTAATCTTATTTAATCAGTGAGTTTAAACTATTAAAGCTTAAAATTGCACTAAGACTGTTGCGACACATCCTGTATATCTCATTTGTACATAGTTGTTTGTATGCTGTCTCCCTCATGAGGCTGTGAGCTCCATGAAAGCAAGAAATGAAGGGTTTTTTTGCTTTTCTTTCTATCTCCAAAGCTCAGCATAATGACTGTCATATAGTAGATGCATAACAAATGCTTTTTGACTTGAATGAACATTTACCACTTTTACCTATGTAAAATCTACCTGGAAGGGTAGTTTTACAACAGAACTCACCTGAATTTGAATAGGAAGATTGTCTTTGACAGTGTGTAATAGAGTTTCCGTGGGTTTATCTTTGCACATCAGAACCAGCTCAAGGTCCATATCATCTTTTATCAACAAGCCTTTTGCAACTAGGCCAATTCTCATTACACCACAGAGTGTTCGGCCACCTTGATCCCTTTAAAAGAAAATTTTGAATGATTATCTTTACATGTGAGCACCAGGCTATTCCAGAGTCTAGAAGTACAACGAAGGAGTAGATAAGTGGATGCAAAGGAGAATAAAATTCGAAATATTCTGCTTTCTATGAGTATAGCAGAAAAGAAAGAGAAATATAATACCCATCTTATAGATGAGGTAACTAAGGCTCAAAGGTAAACAAGTAACCCAAGATATAGGGCTCTAAAAGTGGAATATCAACATAAACTAAGTGATTATTGCAGAATAGATATGAAATGATCTTGGATAAGTAATTTAACCACTCTGGGCCTCAGTTTCCTCACCTGAAAAAAGAATGGTTAATTCCTAAGGGCCCTTCCAGGCCTTTTCTATTTTGAGATTATGTGAAACAGTATCCCTGGAAATCATTACAACCTCATGACATTTTGGAGCTCTTAAGAATCTCATTCTTAAGGGGGGGGGAAGAATTACTATTTTCATCTTTAAATTATACCCAAAATGTTAGGTTTCCTTGCTGTTAAAATTTACATTTTTTAAAAGAGATTAAATAGAATACACAAGACAACTGAAAGAGTCTCTAGGACTAAGGAACAAAAGACCTGAGTTCTAGTTCTGTCAGTGGCTTACATGATGGCCTGGGGCAAATATTTTACCTCCCTGGGTCTGGTTTCTCAAATGTAGAATGGAAAGGTTGAAGAAAACAATCTCTAAGCTTTCTCTGCACTAAATTCTATGATCCTGTGACTTGTCACACAAGGTTATAGAGTTAGTAAATGACAGAGAGGACTCAAAACCACAATGAAGTAGAGCACTGCTTTCACTATGGTCCTATTCAGCTATAAAAGTATGTGGTTCTAAGATGCTTTCAACTACTGAACAGATAACACTGTGGGAATATTAAATAGGGGAAGAAAGCATAAGACATGGTTCTTGCTCACGAGAAGCTAACTAGGAAAACAAGACATAAATCAAGATACTTTAGCCTCTTTCAGCTTCAGTTTCCAATCTATAAAAAAAGGATAGTACTTGCACTACATATCTATTGTGAAAAATTCTTTAACAGTGCTATAGGAATATGAGCTTCATTCACAGTTGAAACACATATAAATCAATGTTAAAACAGGATATGATAAAGTATCCACATGACACAAAAATCAATAGCTGTAAAAGTTTAAAAGAATGTCATCAACGTGGGTAAAAACTATGGAGGAAAGTCTCCTAAAGGAGAAGAGATTGGACTCATTTAAGTGAAAAAAGTATTCCAAGGGGGGCTGTGGCAAAAAAAAAAAAAGTAATATAGGTCAACCAGGCCCAGGCAGACAATGGCAAGCAGAAGCAGTGATCTACAGTAGAAAATTCATTAGATTTCAAGTCTCAGAATGTGGGTGTGAATCCCTGTTCTGGTTCTTACTTTATGATCTTAACCAAATCATTTCCCTTCTCTGTATCTCAGTTTCCTCCTCTACAAAGAGTTGAACTCTGATTATCTCTTCTAACACTAAACCCATGATCCTAGGAGATACAGGTTGAAAAGTAAGACTCTGGGAAGAGTGTGGAATGGTTGAATGCTAAACTAAGAATGTAAACTTGATTCCATGTACAATGCAGGTAGAATGGGGGAAAAGTGATGATTAGGGGAATGATCAAAGCTTCTAATGTTATTCTGCCAGCAACATGTAGGATAAACTGAAAGGACCAGAGAGAACACTTACAAGGCTCCTGTGAAATGTTGATGATTCAAAGGCTAATGACACTGGTAAGAGATAAATGTAAGAAGCAAAATGCATCATTTTAAAGAAAAGATCTGCTTACTAGCTGTGTGACCCTGGGCAAAAAATTGCCTCACCAAAAAAAAAAAAAAAAGACCTGAAGAACTCAGTGAATGAGTAGATGTAGATAACAGCAAGAAGAACTGAAGGTGATTCAAAATTTCCCAATGTCAGTAACTAAAGCTAAATTCCCTGTCCTGTTGAAATTCACACTCAAGTAGAGAGATGTAACATATACACAGATGATAATACAAAATGAAGAATAAGAAATGCTTGAAAAGTATAAAAAGTTATTCAGGAAGAAAGAAGAGGAAGATTATTTTTGATTGCACAGCTCAAGAAATGCTTCATGGAAGAAATAGGTAGCATCTGAAGGAATGCTCGTCTACCTTGATATATGTGGAAATCGAGACCCAGAGACATTAACTCATGGTTCTGTACCTTTGCTAGTTCCAGAGCTAACTCTAACAAATTCCAATTTGCGGCCCTTCCTAGATTATCATTTCTGATCTCCAGTAAGAATGGTAGGGAGAGACGCCATCAGCCTGGGTTCAAATATTCACAGGGATTACTCCACAAATTGCATTATTCATATGTGCTCAGTCAAGAACTGACTTTATTCACATGTCCAATTCTGTTATAAAACTCAAAGTTAAGTCTAAGGTCTATAAACCTTTAAAAACCTTTAAAACACAGTGACCTCACCAAGTTAAACAATAGTCACCTGGAAAGCTTTTCCAGGGTCTCCCAGTTCTGTGTAAAAACATCTTCCAAGATAAGACTTGTTAAGAAAAGCCAGGCACTTGCCTAAGTACACTCTAAATTTGGAAGCAGAACTATTTCAACATACATATAAACTCAGGGAAATAAAAAGAGGTTATTGAATGACCCCACTGAGACCTCACACAAGTCCCAAATTCACCAGTATCATTTTTAAAAGCCATTATATATTTTATCTATATTAGAAGGGTACTGGACTACTGCCAAGGGACTAAGAAACAAGACTAAGGTCCCTTCCAGTTCTAACATTATACATTCTAAAATCCGATCCATATCTAACATTCTATATTACGTATTTTAGCCACTTACACTTCAAGCCTTACAAACTTTTAAAGCTGTCCTAAAATGGAATGGGCTGCCTCCAGAGATGCAGTTCTTCCATAACTGGAACTCTTCAAACAAAGGCTGGATGATCACTTGTTAGGAATGTTGCAAAAGGAATTTATCATATGGGGTGGACAATAAGACTCCTGAAGCCCATCCGTATCTGTGATTCTAAGACATCACCAAATACAGTGTATATTTCCCAAGAATAAGACCATCAAGTAAAGAAATATTCTACTTTGGCAGAAAGGGACCTTAAGGCATAAAATGCTGTTACCATAAAAGGCAATAAAAATAATCTATTCTCAAATATGGAGAAGAATTTTAATTGGTCCAATGATTCTGAAAAGAAATGTGGAATTATTCTAAGAAGTAACTAAGAAATACATATCCATAGCATAATACCCAGAAATTTCACTGCTAGAAAGTCAAAGACAAAAATTAAGATCTCATATACACCAAAATATTTGTAGCAGTACTTTTTCTGATAACAAAAAAGCTAAAAACAATTGAGGAATGGCTAAACAAACTGCAGTACAAGAAAATAATGAAATATTACTGCCCCCTTAGAAAAGAAAGCATGACATATACTTTCAGATTCAATTGAAATGTTGGTTAGTTTTGCTGAGCTACTTTCTTTTCTTTTTCCTTCTCTTTTTTTTGGGGGGGAAAGGGGTGCTTTTCAGTTTTTTGTTTGAAAAAGGAAAGCTGGCTGGGTAAGGGTTGGGGAAAAAGATATATTCAGAAGCAAAGGTAATGTAAACGAAAGAAACAGCTCCTAGTTCTCGCCTTCCATTTTAGTGTGCTATCCACACCAAAATCACCTACATTTTAAATTTATTTTCATGCAATGTTGACTCTGAGATTTTAAATGACTTATTATAATACAGTACCCATAATCCTCTCCCCAAGGAAAGCTACTAGTTATTTCAAATAAATGAAAGGAAAAAAATTGGGTGGTGCTTTCTACTAAAAAGATAGCCTTAAAGAATGAAGAGATTATTCAGTTTGGTGTCCTAGCTACCAATGGGACAGTGAAGTCTACATCACAGAATTGTCATTAAGGAATAAACTTTATAAACCTTCAAGAAGTATAGAAATGAGAAGCAGTTTTAGGTCTTCTTTCTAGAGTCCACTAACCATTAATTTTTTTCTTTCTAAATTCAAAGTATTCACCCGTCAGAAAATCACTTAATAAATGCTAGTTGACTGACCAACTTCCATACCAATTTACTTCCTAGTTATGCTCAGATATATCAAGAAACATATTGCATAGTAAAGCATTATAAAGTCGGTTCACTCACTTGGCAGAGTTTTCTCCAGCATCATCCTTTTTCACATCTACATCTCCCTCTGTTTTCCCAGATTTACTCATCTCATCCATCCAATCTGAGACATGTTTAAGAGCACATTCCACAGTGGATACCATGTTCTGGACAGCTTCAAGTTCTTCTGGAGATGGATAAATTGTTGAATGTTTCACCATAACATGGCGATCATCATTAGCAAAAGATCTAATAGATCTCTGTTAGAAAAGTAAGGGGAAAAATGTTACTAGTTTGAGATAATAATAACAGTAGCTCCCATTACTATACTCCTTTATGGCTTACAAAGAGTAGACAACACCAAATGTCATTTTAAAATTGCCTCTAGGGTGAGGCCAAGATGGCAGAGTAAAAGCAGGGATTCGTTTCAGCTCTCCCCCAAACCTCTCCAAATACATGTAAAAAATAACTCTAAACAAATTTTAGAACAGCAAAACCAACAAAAAGACAGAGTGAAACAAATTTCAAGCCCAAGATAACCTGGATGGTTGATGGGAAAGGTCTGTTACACTGGGCTGGTAGAGGAACTCAGTCCAGCCACACAGGCACAGATTGGGCCCCAGCAAACCTGGAGCAGGCCTCAGGGGACTGAATCACTGGCAACTGTGGTGATTTCCAGACTTCTCAACCCACAAATGCCAAAGACAACATACAAGGTCAATAGGAAAGGTCTGTCAGAACTGGATGACAGAAGAACGCAGTCCAGGCCCAGCACAGCCCCAGGGTGGCAGCATCTTCTGGAGATCTCAGCACACAGAAGGTAAGGAGATTTAACAACTAAGGAGGAGATTAACAGGAATCTCTTTGTTGGCACTGAGGAAGGATTCTGTTGTTTGCCCATACTTGGACCTGGGTCACAGTCCTGGGGCAAGGAGGAGCACTGGCATAGCTGAGCGTGTGGAAGCAGTAAAGACCGAACCCTCCTCACAGTTCCTGGGCAGAAAAGAGTGCTTGTGGTCACTCACAGACCAAAACACAGGCCAGGAGGGAAGTAAACACCTCTCCTTAAATCATACCACCGTGGAAGAACTGAAAACTTTCAGATCCCTAGAATTATCTCCGAAAACAGCTGCAAAAAGCCCCTGAAGCTTCAGATAATATGCCCTCCACACAGGAAGCAGAGCCCTACTTTAACAAAGAGTTTATAACTCAGCTGGGATCATGAGCAAACTGTGGAAAAAATCTCAGACTATAGAATCTTACTTTATTGACAAAGAAAATCAAAACATATCAGAAGAAGACAGCAAAGTCAAAGCTCCTACATCCAAAGCCTCCAAGAAAAAAATAGGAATTGGTGTCAGGCCATGGAAGAACTCAAAAAGGATTTTGAAAATCATGTAAGAGAAGTGCTGGAAAAATTGGGAAGAGAAATGAAGGTGATGCAAGAAAATCATAAAAAACAAGTCAACAGCTTGCTAAAGAAGTCTCAAAAAAATATTGAACAAAATAACACCTTAAAAAAATAGCCTAACCCAAATGGCAAAAGAGGTCCAAAAAGCCAATGAGGAGAAGAAGGCCTTAAAGAGCAAAATTGCCTAAATGGAAAAGGAGGTCCAAAAGCTCACTGAAGAAAATATTTCCTTAAAAATTAGAATGCAGCAAATTAAAGCTAATGACTCTAAGAGAAATGCAAGAAATTGTAAAAGAGGAAGAATGAAAAAATTGAAGACAATTTGAAATATCTCATTGGAAAAATAACTAACCTGGAAAATAGATCCAGGAGAAAGAATTTAAAAATTATTGGACTACCTGAAAACCATGATCAAAACAAGCCTACTTGGTTGCATCTTCACTGCAGGCCTCTGTCTCAGCCAATATTGTTTTCTCAGATCTGTCCCAGCTCTTCCTTTGACACATAGAGACTCAGTACCAGTGGCAACAGTGGCAAACAACAAAGTGGCTGAGGCCTCTTGTTGGTGGGACAGGATGCTTCTATGCTCTTAGCTGCAAGAACGGAGTGGAATGGTAGACCAGAAATCTCTTCAAGGGCAAAGGAAAGAGGAAACTTAATGTATTTTCTCATACAGCTTTTCCTTTCTCCTTCAGTGCCTCATTGATTTCATTCCCTTTAAGAAGAAAGGTTTTATACCTGCTAACTTAAATTTTGAGTACCAAATTCTCTCCCTTAGCACCTAGCATAAATCTCTGCACACAGGAGTTCCTTAATAAATGTTTGTTGTTAAATTCAATGAGCCACTAAAGTAAATAATAATAACAGTATTAAATATTATCTTAAAGGATATTGGAGAACGAAAAAAAAAAGAGCCTAGACATCATCTTTCAAGAAATTATCAAGGAAAACTGCCATGATATTCTAGAATCGGAGGGTAAAATAGAAATTGAAAGAATCCACTGACCACCTCCTGAAAGAGATCCCAAAAGGAAAACTCCCAGGAATATTATAGCCACATTCCAGAGTTCCTAGATCAAGGAGAAAATACCGCAAGCAGTCAGAAAGAAACAATTCAAGTGTTGTGGAAACACAATCAGGATAACACAAGATTTAGCAGTTTCTACATTAAGGGATCTGAGGGCTCTGATCAGAGGTCAAAGGAGCTAGGATTAAAACCTAGCTCACCTACCCAGCAAAACTGGGCAATCAATGAGAAGTAAAAATTGACATTCAATGATGCAGAGAAATTTAAGGCATTCTTGGGAAGCCAGAGCAAAACAGAAAAACTGACTTTCAAATACAAGACTCAAGAGAAGCATGAAAAGGTAAACAGGAAAGAGAAATCATAAGGAACTTGTTAGAGTTGAAGTATTTACATTTCTACATGGAAAGATGATATGTGTAACCTGAGACCTTTCTCATTATTAAGGTAACTGGAGGGAAAATATATATATATATATATATATTTATATTTATACACACACACACAGAGATAGATAGATACATAGATAGACAGACAGATAGACAGAGGGCACAGAGTGAGTTGAATATGAAGGGATTATATCTAAAAAATAAAATTAAGGGGTGAGAGAGGAATGTACTGGGAGGAGAAAGGGAGAGGTAGAATGGGGTAAATTATCTCACATAAAAAAGGCAAGAAAAAGCTTTAACAGTGGAGGGGAAGAGGGGGAAGGTGAGAGAGAGTGAGTGATTTAAGCAAGCAAAACCAGAAAAGTAAAAACAAGTGTTAAAACAATAATAGTAATGACAACAAAAACTCGACGCTGTGTAATCTGATGGTTCTCTGGGGAAGAAGAGGTACCAATGTAATGTAATGTAAATCTTTTTAAAACCAAAGGTGTCAATAAAATTATAGAAAATATAAGGTTTTCCAGGGTGAGAGAGAGAGTTTAAAGGCATTTCCATTTATCTTTTTAATTTTTCAAAAAGTTACAAAAGAGTTATAATATCACTGTCATGGCTGCTGAGAAGGAATAATGGCAGTCCATTTTATATTGGTCTTAGAGCTCATAGAGTAACTTACAGGAGGATCTCAAGCTCTCAAGCTCTGTGGTCTGAAAGCCATTTCAAAAAATTTCAACTACTTAACTACTTACCATCGGTGAGTAGGGGGAGTAGGGTTAGGATGAGGGGAATTCTATAACAATGGAGTTCTAAAAAGAATTTCTAGTATGATATTCTCTCAAGCTAGAAGACTTGCATATGGATCAACTGGATGGAGTATTTGTCATCTTAAGACCAGACCAGCTAATCTGGAGCAACTTATCACCAAAATTTTGGTCACTGGTGATAATTTTTTTGGCTAGAGTAGTTTAGTCTAAAAAAGTGTAAGAGGCCTACAATCACCATCAGAAGAACCCATACTAACAAAATGAGTGATCTACGAAGCATTAAAGAATATCATCTACTCACATTTGTAGAATGTTTAAAGTATGCAATGAACTTTCCTTACCACAATCCTGTAAATATAAGCATTATCAAGGCCATTTTGACAGATGGAGAAACAACATCACCCAGAGATAAAATGACTTGTCCAGGGTCACAAGCAACTAAGTGCTGGATAAGAGAATATACCTAAGAACTCATGATTCAAACCTCAAAGTACTTTACTCTCTACCACACTGCAACTCATTATGATCATTATAAGTTACAATTTATAATAGTTAAATATTATAATGCTATTACTGCACTACAATAACAGTAGAATTAATAACAACTGGTACTTTACAAAGCAATCTTGGGGGGAAGCAGGCTGCACTATCCCCATTTATCAGATGAGAAAAATTATAGCTCTGCAAAGAGGTGAAGTGATTTTTCCAGGGTCACAAGGCTAAAATAAAGTCTAGGTTCAAATTACAATAGATGTTCCAATAAACCACCATGCTGCCTCTAATCAATATATTCTAGTACATTGATTAATATGATCTTTGTGTTTTTTCCAAGGATTAAAACATCTTAAAGTCTCTCATTCATAGTTGACTTACAAGAAGTGTATTTACAAAACAGGTTTAACTAATATTCCCCAGAGAGAGACAAGTAAAACAACTGACCACATTTTATAAATGCAGAATCTGGGTCACAGAGAGGTTAAATGACTTGACAAAAGTTCATGAAGTCAGTCTGAAACAAGACTAAGTAACATTGAAATCATCCTCTTTCTTGGACAATTTACATACCTGATAATTTTGCATATTGAAAAAAGGTGTGGCTCAGATAATAAAGGACAGAGGTATCATAGTACAGTTACAAATTAGTATTCACTTCAATATGTCAAGTATCAGTGATTGTATCCATGTGCACATAGTATCCAGCTCTTCCGCACCTCTAATATAAAGGAGCTACTCATCTGCCCTTACTCCCCTCCTCTCCCCCACTCCCACCCTCTGCCCCGCCCTAGTACCAAGTCTCCAGATGCTGAGCCTCCCTCCATTTAGCTGTGACAGGTGATAAGATGTGAGAGCAGGAGAAACTACAGAAATCATCCATCCCTTCTCACTGGCAAAGGATACAACTGAGGCCCAGGGAGGGAAAGAAACTTGTTCATGGTGCTCAGACAATAAACACATTGTCTACTGTAAGGGCAATGTTTGAAACTTTTCAGTTTATGCTCCACGGGCAGAATCTTTGTGCCCAGGGACTTCTCCACGACATGATGAAAATATCAGGGGAGGTGTATGTTTTAAAGAGGAAAAAATAATTGACCTTGAAGTAGAAGTCTGGAAGTGATTCATTTAAACTACAGTTCAAGGTCATTTAGTTTGCCAGTTTTATTAGAAAACATTATTTATGAACATTCTCTCATTTGAATTTAATAATTCATGGCCTGCAGGCTCACAGGGCTCCATTTTGTGGTTTAAAGGACTCTATAATAAATCATACCTCATCTGCTTTGCTTAAATAGCAGCTCAGTGCCATCTTTGTCCTAGCATTAGAGCCAAAAAATTAACACCTAACACCTTTTTCTAATGTTAACTTTTCCAATATCGAGTTAAAAGAATACTTTGACTAAGATCAAGAGAATTAGTGGGAATTACCTACCATGGTTTGCTAAAATGTTTTAGCTTCTTTTTTTCCGTTCTTTTTCCCTCTTCCTTGTTGTCTTCAATAGACACTGTTTTGTGAGACAGAACCTCCTCATAAGCCTTTCAGTCTCCTGACAGATTGAGTTAATGTGGCAAAGATGGCCCAAGAACTGCTCTCTGGAAAACACCTGAAAGCGGAACAGGAAAAAAAAAAATCTTTTTAAAACGTGAAGTTGTAATTACTATCAAGTAACCATCTACTCATATTTGTAGAATGTTTTAAAGTATGCAACTCATACTAACTAACTCAATATTATGCCATCAATTAAAAGGCAAAAAGTTTTCAGGAAGAAAATCATCGTGGGTTCTTTTTGTTTTGTTTTTTAAGAAGCTGATGTAGTCATAGACAATGTAAGCTTCAGAATCACATAATATGGGTAAATGTGGTTAAGATATTTAAACCTGAAAAGGTAATAATAATAACAGAAGCATGCATTTCATTAAGTGCTTAGACAACCTTCTATAATGCTTATCTCACAATCAACTTGTGGAGGTAGGGAGTATATTATTCCCATTTTACCAAAAAGAAATCTCAGAAGAGAATTGTCTTACAACTATATAATTGCCTTCCTCACATTTTCCTAGAATACTTTGCCTGACCTGCCTTCCGTTTTACACCCCCACATCCTGACCTACTTTGTATTATACCACTTGTATACATATCTTATCTTCCTCCTCCAACTTCCAAAGTAATTCCTTGAGAGTAAGAATTCTTTTTTAAAAAATTATGGTGGCAGCTAGGTGGCACAGTGGATAGAGCACCGGTCCTGAAGTCAGGAGTACCTGAGTTCAAATCCAGCCTCAGACCAAACACTTGACACTTACTAGCTGTGTGACCCTGGGCAAGTCACTTAACCCCAATTGCCTAAAAAAAAAAAAAAAATTATGTCCCCACTGCCTTATACACAATAGATGCCTAAATGTTAGGTGAATTCATTTGAATAGAAATTTATTTGTTAAAAATAAACTCAAAAATCATTTGAATTTATTTCTATCAAACTTTACAAAGTTATTTTCTCATATAGTCATAAGAAGTAGGCAGTGCAGAGATTATTATCCCCATTTTCCAAATGAGAAAACTAAGACTCAGAGAATTGGACTGATTTTCCCAAGAGCTAGTCAGGGATAGAACAATGATTCAGTCCTCTGCCTCCAAGTTCAGGATTCTTCCCATTGCACCAAAGCAATCCTTTCTCCAGATTCACGTATTTATAACAAACTAACAATGGATAAGTCAATTTATATATTTTGGCATCAGTGTTCTCATCTATAAAATGGCAAAGGCCCAGTTTTCAGACAATGAACCAAATTGAAGGTACTTTTACAGTTCTAAGACCTAGATTTGCATAAATCTCTAAGAATATGTTTAACTTCCCATAAGCTCCCAACACCACTGTTCTATATCTATTTTGCACAACCTCTGCAGGAACCAATGTATTCTACAGTTCAGAAAAATATGTGAACATGTATAGCATCAGCGAAACAATTCTGAAATCGTTATCTATAATCCATGCAGTTTCCAAACAAAGCAAGCCTAGAGAGTTAACACCAAAGTACAACAGGTCTTTCAGCCACAGAGGTAGCAAAGGGAGTAATTAAAACTGTTTATCACCTAACTCAAAACACAAGGGAAAATTGTTTCCCTTCTATTTAAATACCTCTCCATTGAAAAGATATTCATTAGATGAATACTGACAACTCAACCAACAGAAATAGCTGCTCTGTCCTCCAAAGAAAGTCCCACCCCTCCTTTTTTCAGTGGATCTAGGTAAGAAATACAACTTATATGCCAAATATATATGCATAACTGTGTCCAACTGATAATCCAACTATGACCTACATGCAAAATTACTGATGTCACTACTCAAATTTTCTGAGTTCAGCAAATTCACCTGAATTATTATGTTTCCATGAACACTACATAAGTTTAGTGACTACAAAAGGTTCTAATAAATGAAAGCTGTTTCAATTAGTACTCTGATGATAATGAAGACAATATAGTTAACAATAACAAACTTTCACTAAAGTTCCCACCCTTTCAAATCCTAGCTCAGTTTCTTAGTACATTGGGCAAGTCACCTCACTTCTCTAGGTCAGTTTCCAAATCTGTAAAATGAGATTGGAGTAGATAATTTCTAGGGCACCTTCAGATTTTAAATCCTATAGTAAGAGACCAACTTGAATTTTTTGTTTGTTTTAATATTTAATCTATTGCAATGGAAGCAAAATGACCTAGTGGATAGAGCACTGGGCTCAGACTGAGGAAGACCTAGTCATAAATCCCACCTCTGACACTTACTACCTGTTTGAACCTAGGCAAGTCATTGTGTCTCAACTCTGTGTCTTGAGACCTAGGACAAATCTACTAAGTCAGAAATGAGTTTTGATTTGATCTGTTGGTACAGGAAGCCCCTATCACTAGAAGTTCCCTTCACTGATGAAAAGGCATATCCTTTAATAATTTTAATTTACTGACATAGTTTAGACTAAATAGCTACTTCCCCAAAAAACACTCCAAATAAATACCCTAGAAAGTACTTATCCCCCCCAAAAAAATTAACATAAATAAGAAATGCGTAATGACTGTTGTATTTGACCAGAGTTTTGCTGCCTCTTTACAGTGATTTTATTTGCATTGATGTGGTAATATAAACCCACCGGGGAAAAGAAAAAAAAAAAAAGGAATGGAAAACAGCACCTAACTTGTACCCTTCAAAGTCACTATGTTTTATTGTTAAGGCTGATTTAGGTATTCCTGTTCCTGAATGTCTATCAAGTTTTGTCTATCAAGTGATCTTATAACAATTATATGAAAGAGGAAAGGCTTAAATATGCCCCAAAAAAGTTTAAGTATCCAATTGTACTATGTCTTCTGAGACACAAAACTGGGTATCAAACAGTCTTTAAACAGCACCTTTTATTATCAAAAGACCATCTGTTGCTATTCCACAGAACTGAGGAACTATGTGAAGGGAAATTAAAATTTGGAGACAGAATGGACAAGATGGTATTTCTTAATTAAGTTTGTGAGATGAGTTTGGCTTGTAATCTTGTTGTGTGACAGCACTAGAGTTGGGAGGGGGGTAGAAAAAGAAGCTAAAATACCCCAATTCTGTTACTAAAACTTCAGAAATGCTTGTTTTCTCATTTTAGCAAAATGAAAACCTATAGCTTTAAAATATGCCTTCAATTCGTGAAGCTGAAGCGCAAAGAAATGTTTTTCCTACTGCACTATAGCATACCACTAGAAAAAAATACACTAAGTCTTTCTGTAATATAATAATTTTATTTCTGGGGCTATGCCAACATACTCTACTCTCTGGCACCATCTACCATAGTCGGAAATAGTGTATTTGGGTCAGAAAAGACAAGTTGCTTTCTGGAGCTCAGTACTTTCAGCACAAGTAGGAATATTATAATTCCACCCTTTCAGAAACAACCTTTTAAATAACAGACATAAAATTGAGACAAAGTTAAATATTTAGAAAATCAAGCAAATTGGTAACAGAAATAGACTGAAGAAAAAATATGGAAATTTTACCTCTAAAAAGGACTGTATACCTAGCAATTTATCATAGGATCATAGGTTTTCATATTGGAAGAGACCTTAAGAATTATTTAGTTTAATCCCTTCATTTTTAAGAAGAAATTGAAACCCAGAGAGAAATGACTTGCCCAAGGCTATCCAGGTATTAAGTAGCAAAATGGGTATACGAACTCAAATTTGAGCTCATTTACAAGTTTATGTAACCACAGGCAACTCTCATTTTAACCTAAGCCTACCCTGCAAAAAAGAATGTTTGAGAAAAGGACTTGGTAGCCCATAAAATAGTGGCATACACCTGTAATCTCTGCTAATAGGAGAGCCGAGGTAGCAGATCACTTGAACTCAGGAGTTCTGAACTGCAGCAGAAAAAAAGCAAACGTGGTATCCATACCAAGTCCAGCACCAATATGGGGAGATGCTAAGGACAAGGGTTCACCTGGCTGCCTAAAGACGGGAAAACAGGCTCAGTTCAGAGGAAAAAAAAAAGTCTAAGCTTATGTGCCTCGTTAGGAGGACATCAGGCCCATGAGTGGCTATTGAACTTCTACCCTAAGTGAGATGGGAAAACCCAGTCTTTACTTACACACACACACACACACACACACACACACACACACAATAAATCACTATAAAACTTAAAGCACTATGAAAATAGAAGGTATTATCAATATTACTAAATATACGAGGAATACTTCTGTTTTTAAAAGAAATGGATACTTATATATACCAACCCTTCAAGTCTTATGAGCTGGCCAGTGTTCATTAGTTGGAGAGGAGATGGAATCTGGTGATGACACTTCCCTGTGAGACTGGTCTGGTCCCTAATATACACACCATTCCTTACTAGGCCTACACTGAATGGAAATCTTTTGACGTTGAGTAGGATCTGGCACAGCCTTCTAATACCAATGGTCATTTTCAAAGTACAACTTTATGGAGAAAAGAAGCAAACGCTTTAGTAAAAACAAAGAATTTTTTTTAAATGTAACTAATCATCTAAATCACTTCCCAAAGACCTAAGTGATCTTTTTGGTAAATTTAAATTTTCAGTCAAATTAATTTTCTTAAAAAAAAAGTACTCTTAATGGATATTTTAAATTGATGTTATGTTCATGATTCTATTCAATTCAATAAATATTTAAATTATCTTGGAAGGGCACTGTGTTATATAACTCATTATTTTTTTTTCTCTTGAGCAAGACTTGTGACTCCACTGTTGTAAGGAACTCCAGATAAGAAAACTCCTGCCAACAAAGAGAAGCAACTAGTTGTTAGAACATATAGTCTTTAGTACACTGCCTAGAGAGCATGAGAGATTATGTGACTCAACTAGGGTCACAGAAGTAGTAGGTTATAAGAAGTAGGACTGGAACCACGGTCATCCTAACTCTAAAGCCAGGTCTCTACACACTGAGCCACAATGCCTCGAAAATAAAAGTGTGCATGTATATATAGAAAATAATTCCAAGAGGAAGCAAGCAATAGTAACTGAGAAAGACTAGGAAAGGTCTCATGTAAGAGATGGCACTTGAGTTATCTATTGAAGGAAGAAGCTGGGGATTTTAAGAGGCAAATATAAGA